TAGCCAGAACTGGCCATACTGCTGCTCCCCAAAGGTGCTGGGAAATGTGGTCTTTCATTCATTTGGGAAGAGAGAGAACTAGAAATATCGGTGGGAATTAGCAATGTCAGCTACAATATCACATGATTTGGCAGAGAAATAAAGGCCTGTCCCCAGTGCCATGTAATTCCTGCAGAGTTGGAAGGGGCACACTGAGAGCTCTCAGCAGGATGACAGAGCTGGCTAGGAGGCAAGGCTGTCCAGGATAGAATCTTTCAGGCTAGCTAGTGCATTTTCTAGCAAGGGGGACTGTGAAAGGAGGGATTCTGGTTAGGGCTCACCAAGCACCCGCAAAAGCCAAATGCATCCCCCAAAAAGATTGCCTCTGGAAGATGAAGGGCCTCTGCAGAACCCTTGTTGCATTTCAATAATCAGCCCCCTGGTTCTTGCCAGAATTCAGCCTGCCCCAGTTTTTCCTCCTTAAAGTAGCTAATATTTAATAGAAAAGCCATTAGTGTCCCGTGATGGTGCCTCATGCTCAGATGTAGGTTGAGAACGTCTAGGTAATAACTGACACCGAAACCACACTGTGCCACAGGCCCCAGGAGGGGGAACTATTTTTTCCTCTTTCTTATATAAAATGTCTTTGCAGCTAGCCATGTTCTCCTTTGAATCAAGGCAGCTGCTGACTTTGATTGCAAACTATCCACCCTCGGCTGCACAGCAAGTTCAGGAAGAGGAGATGCTTGGTACTGCATCCAGAGGACAGCAGGGGTCAGCTGGGGGCCTGCAGGAAATGCAGCTCCATGTTGCTCTTTGATTCAGTTCCCTAAACATGCACTGGTGCCTACCACATGCCAGGTCCTGTGCTTGGGACTGGAGAGGGATCAGACAGCTGGCTGTCATATCAGGTGGAGAAACAGACAGTGATGTGTGCAGACTTGATGTGTCCATGTGCTAGGACTCAGACATTTAGGAAAAGTGGCCACTGCCTGGAATCCCTTGAAGCCTCCTACAAACGCTTACTCATCCTCTCTGGGGTCACTGCCCTGGACTTAATCCTGCCTTACCTCAGGGCACCATCTAGGAAGCAGTGGGATACACAGCTCTGAAGTTCAAGAGCACACTCAGGGCCAAAGATCAAGCTCTGACAATCACCACGTGGCATCCTTGTCCTCCAGAGCAGAGTTGTTTATGGCAGTTTCTGTCAAATACAAAGACAGCAGTGTGTCCTCATTGACCTTATACTTGGGATCTGGTGCTGTGTGACTTGTGGCTCTTCCCCAGTCAAAATGACCAACAGGGTGGACAAGGAGCCTGATCAAAATCAATGAACAAGCAATGCTAGATAATGAAAACTGAAGTGAGGCAATAAACAGAGAGCAGAGAATGACCAGCCATTCATTTTCATTCATTCATTCATTCGTTCATTTATTTGACAGAGTATCATAAATTGCTAAATTGCCTAGGCTGGGTTTAACTCAAAATCCTCTTCCCTCAGCCTCACAAGTGCTGGGATTACAGGTGTGGGCCACCACACCCAGCTACAAGCAATTTTAGAACAGTATGAACCCCTTAGACAGAAACCTGGCACCTCTCAGCCATCACTCCCAAGTCATGGTTTTAAATAAGGATTGAAAGCATCATTCCATCATTCTCACTGGGCAAATGAAAGCACATTGCATCAAATCTAAAACAACATCATCCACTGCAAGCTGACTGTTGTTTATTTAGTACGATGAAATGAAACACTGTCCTGATTAATCCATGACACACACTTCCTTATCACCTTCTTGTCACTTAATTTAGTAATTGTCAGAGGCCCTCTCACTTAGCCATATTTAGTAATAGCAATGCAAATAACTTAGTGGAAATAACAATATGAACACTCACAACCAAATACATATATGCGTAAGAATGATAACCAGCAGTAGGACACATTCTGATTTCAAAGCTGTTGGAATATGAAAAAATGTTCATCCTGGGGCCAGAGATGTAGCTCAGTGGCGCCATTCCTGCCTGGCAAGCCCGAGGTCCTGAGTTTGATCCCTGGTACAAAAAAAAAAAAAAGTTCATCCTAGAATCAGTGATATACAATGTTGATAGCCTGGAGTGTACTTAGTTACAAAATAATGGAAGTTGACTCCACTGACTTAGGCAGGAAAAGAATTTTCACTTCACAGAATCATCACTGGAGACTCAGGCTTAGAATCAAGAATGGATTGCCGTGCAGGAGCACTGCTATCCCAAAACATCCTCCAGGAAAACTCTGCTCAGTGTATTGCAGGCCTTAGTCACTGCCTTGGACAGCCTTTGCATTTCTGTATCATTCCTTCAGAAGCCAAAGTCCTGGCCTTCAGTTGGCCTCTGATCAGCCAGAGTCTCCAATTGGCCAAAGCTACATCAGGATCTGGCCTTTCACTTGGTTTAGTCTTTCCTCTCTCTCACCTCAGTAACGAGGAAATTCCATCCTCTATGTGGATGTGCTGCAGTTATTTAGACAACATTGTCAGGTGGTTTTTTTTTGCTTCCAAGATCTAAGTATTATAAACACTACAGAGGCAAACTTCTGCAAGGCATCATTGTACCCTTGTCTTGTCAGGACATGACTAGGATAAATTCCTAGACAGCAGGTCACTGGGTAAAAGAATAGACTTTAGAGCAAGGCATGGAGGACTGCCTGTAATTCCAGCACCCTGGAAGGCTGAAGCAGTGGGCTCAGAAGCTCGAGCCTAGACTGGGAATTTAGAAACTTAGTGTGACCCTGTCTCAAAATAAAAATAAAGCTGGGTGTGTTGGCTCACGCCTGTGATCCCAGCACTCGGGAGGCTGAGGCAAGAGGATTTCTGTGAGTTCGAGCCCAGCCTGAACTACATAGTGAGTTTGAGGCCAGTCTGAACTACATAGTGAGACCTGGTCCCAAAAAAAGAAAATTTAAAAATTTCAAAAATAAGGGCTAGGGCTGCACAAGTGCAAGGACCTGAGTTCGATCCCCGGTACCAAAAAAACAAAAATAAGGGCTAGGGATTTAGTTCAGTGGTTCCCCATAAGGTCCTGAGTTCAATCCCCAGTACCAAAAAAATAATAATAATAAATTACAAAACTAAATAAAAGTAAAGCCGGGTGTGTTGACACACATCTGTAATCCCAGCATGAGAGAGGCTAAGGCAGGAGGCCCACTGCAAGTTTGAGCCCATCTTGTGCTACATAGTGAGTTCAAGGCCAGCCCGAACTATGTAAAAAGAAGACTCAGCCTCTAACTAGATAGACGATTAGATAGATAGACAGACAGACAGACAGATAGATAGATAGATAGATAGATAGATAGATGAAAGGATAGCTAGATAGGTAGATGATGTAGCTCAGTGCAAAGGCCCTAGGTTCAATTCCCAGTACTGGGGAAAAAAAAAAAAAAAAAGAATGGGATTAAGACACACTTAGCTACTTTCCAGAAACATTGTGTGCATCTGCAGACTCACTCCTTGGAATAGACATGCCTAGATTAGTGTCCACTTGTTTATGTACAAAGAAAAAGAAAACAAAAATCCAGTAGGAGAACAGAAGATGTCAAAATTCAGGAATACACACGAACTCCACAGCGTTTTTATGAAGCCAGAATGTTCTGTGTGGGATCTCTCAACGAACAGTGCACAGAACAGAACATAGTATTATAATAATAGTAACTAGCAATTAGTGAGTTCCTGGCACATTTTTAAGCTCTTGTATTGATTTCCTTGATCCTTAGAATATTCATTAGAATGGCTCCCTCTGGGTTTGAATCCTGACCCCTTAACCTTGTAACCTATGTCCATTCCTTAAACTGTTCCCCCACAGATTTCTGTCCTGGGAGTCATTTTGTCTCTATCAGCTCAGTTTGCTTAAATGTAAAATGAAGATACTAACCATGTCCATCTCTAGGGCAGCTGTGAGCTTTGAAATGATGTGATGGGGCGAAGCATGTCAGCATGTCCTCATGTCAGCCACCCCGTGTAGGTAAATTGAGGGAGGAAGGGAAGGTGGTGAGTGATCCTCCATGGTTCCCCTTTGGGTCCCTTCGTGCAGGTGGATGAAATCTTGGGGGACCAGCCAGCTGCCAAGGAGCAGGTGTTTGCTGCACTGAAGCAATTTGCAGCGGAGCAGCGCGTGGATGACTTGGTGTGGGCTCTCACCCTGGTGCTGCCCCATGAAGCCCGAGGGCCACTCCTGGACAACCTCAGGTACCTCGGTTGGGAGTCTGATCTTGAACCAACACACCTGCAGCCAAAAGCAAGGGTGGGCTAGAGAACTTGAAGGGCAGCCAGGGGAAGGCTGCCAGGGAGTCACCTTGTGTGACAATGGCAGACGTACAGAGAGGACACACCTGCTGACACATCCCAAATCCATGTGGGGAAAATCTCCAACAGGATGGCAAGACATTCCTAGTTCTTTATTGTTGGGGGCAATGGTACAATCTGACCACAGGAAGCCCAGGGTGTGCTATGGGGAATCACACTCCCTACCCTGCCCTACAGGCAACACCCGCTCTCTGATCTTTGATTGTTTTGATGATGATACTGAGTGTGTGCCAAGGACCTCATCAACTAGAGGAACATTCTCTGGATGGAATCTCCCAGTGCCGCTATAACCCCATTTTACAGAGGCAAACTGGGGCTCAGTGAGGTTCAGAAGCTGGCCCAAAGCTACACAGCAAATCAGTGGCATTCTTAGCACCATGAACCCAGTCAGCTGGACACTTTCTGCTCAGCTTCCAGCTCACCCTTTAAGTTGTTTATTACAAAGAAAAAAAATGCCCTGAGTTCTCACCTGGAGAGAGCCCAGGTGACCCAGAAATCTCCGGACCCCACTTTCTGCCTGCTTGGCTTCTTTCTTGATGGAGCGACACCCCACCCCCATCCTGCCTACGCCTGCCCCCAGCCCTCCCCTCTCCCAGGCTCAGCCCCCTCCCTTCCCTGGCTGCCATTCACCCCACAGCCTGCCCCTCCCTCTGGGCCTGACCAATGTCAGGGACGGGACTGGCCACCCCCGCCCCCACCAGCCTGGGCGTCGCATCTCGGCTCTGCAGCCGAGCAGAGGCCACCGAAGGAGGCCACCATGAGTTGCCTGGGGTGAGTAAGGGGCCTGCCCCTCACTGGGCAAAGCCAGCGAGGGGAAGGAAAAAAAGTTATTTCTAGAGCTGAATTTTCCGCGGAGATGCTGCCTGGTGCTGAGGGATTCCTGGGGAGGTGACGGGTAGCAGCCCTGTCCGCCCCACAGTCCCCGGGGAACTTGGCAAGCTTGTCTCTCAGCTGCCAGCCTCCAGACTCAGCTGGAAGCCTCTCGGGTCCCCTCATTCCCCCTGGGTGCTGCCCGGCTTCAGTCCCTGCTCTTTCCTGGCTGCTGCTCCTCCCCCAGCGACCGCTGGCTAGGCAGTGGGTCGGAGAGGGGGTGCTCGATTTAGATCCTGGAAAGCGGGAACCCAGAGCACCTGGAGATGCCTGGCCCCTCACAGCATCCCTGGGGTGCTGCTGAGGGGGTGTGTGTGAAGCGGCGGCCTGTGTTTCCAGCGGTGTCAAGTGAGACAGGGGAAGTAGGATGGTGCTGGAGGAGGGGTGGCGCCCCGCTGGGCCATAGGGAGAGGGTTGCACTGACAGCCAGGGCTTTAGGCACCCCCGACTCCAGCATATCCCCCACGCCTCCCACCCCTGCTCTGGAAGCCTGGCTGGTTGCCAGCAGCCTCACCACACACTGGGCTGTACGGACCCGGTGGGGATTTCGGGCGTAGCACCTTCCAGACACAGCTGGAAGTGGGCATGGAGGGGACTCGGGCACAGCTAGCTGTGATTCTGAGGCTTGAGGGGCAGCTAAGAGGCAGCCCATAGCTAGCTCAGCCCGGGACAATCGGGAGGACTCCTGGGGGAGGTAACAGATGTCCGTGGCTCAGTGACTCCAAGGGTTTTGCAATATGCTGCCCTGTGGAGAGGCTGGGATAGCCCCCAAGGACAGCTTGTCAAGGCCAGGTATCGAGCCATAGATGGTAAGGGCAGTGTCACACGAGCGCATGGAATCCAGCAGTGCTTAGTTTAGGGTGGGTGGGGCACCTGGAGCCACTGTCTCCAAGGACCCCACGTGGGGGAGAGACCGGGCTTCAGGGAGAGGTTGAGCAGCCAAAGGGCAGCAGGTGAAGAAATATGTTCTCACATGTGTGTGCGTGCTGAAAACTGGACCCACCCAAACCAGAGGTGCGGCCTCTCTGAGCAGCGGTCCAAGTGGCCAAAACAGAAGCCCCTTAGGAGCGCAGGCAAGGAGCAGTGCGACCATGCTCCTCGACCAGCTGGCACAGTAGCCTCTAGTCACATGAGGCTATTCAAAACTTAATTAATATTTGATACAATTTGAAGTTTGGCTTAACCTCACAAGCAGCACTTCAAGCACTCAAAAGCCACAGCTGGATAATAGTGGCCTACTCTCTGGGCCTCGCAGACAAAGAACATGTCCAGGTTCCTTTGGCCAGCGCTGCAGTCAAGGGCGACACAGGCAACGGGTAAGCCAGGTGAGTGGGTCCAAGGGAAGCAAAAGGAATCGTCTTAGCTGGGTGTGGTACCAATGTCCATAATCTCAGCACTGATCGAAATTGAGGCAGGAGGATCACAAGTTCCAGGCCAGCCTGGGTGATTATTAAAAATTTTAATAATTTAAGTTTATCGGTACATTTTAGATATACATAATGATCACATTCATCCTGGGGAATTTATACCTGTACCCGATATATCTTGATTCTTATTTTTTCCCATTCCCCTACCCTCCCTTCAACCCCTAGCCTGGGCAATTTAGTAAAACCCTATCTCAAAGTGAAAATTTAAAAGGGCTGGGGACGTAGCTCAGTGGGAGAGCAGCCCTGGGTTCAATCCCCTAAATAAATGAATGAATCATCTTCCTTTACAATAGCAGTGAACATTGTCGCTCCACACAGAGTCTAATTTGGGTCTGTCCCCAAAGGGATTCCAGACTGATGAAGTGGTACAATGTCTTTCTAATTAGGACAGGACAGGCAGTTTGGAAAGTGTGACGTGGCCAGAAGGGAACAAGAAAGCAGTCCGTGGTGAGCTAGTTTCAGGGAATCTGAGGAGCAGGAGTGTGTGGGAAAGGGCAGTTGAGGGGAGGGTGGGAAGGAAGCAGCAGAGGTCATGAAGAAGCTGGAATTGGGAATCTTTACAGTCCCTTCACTGACAGTGCAACCTTAAGTGGGTGTATTGACCTTTACAGTTTGTCTATAAAATCAGGTTGGTCAAACACGTGTTCCATGCTGGGCGTGGTGGTGCACACCTGTAATCTCAGCACTGGGGATCTTGAGACAGGAGGATTGCAGCGAGTCTGAGGCCAGCCTGGGCTATATAGTGGGATCTAGGCCACTTTGAACTATATAGCAAGATCCTGTCTCAACACCCCTGCCCCCTCCAAAACCTTATGTGTTCCCAGCAGGATTCTTGGTAGGAAAATATATAAGTGAATTCTCCCAACCATAAGCAGAAAAGAGATTAGTTAAGAATCTGGAGAAGCCAGGGATTTAACTCAGGAGGCAGGGATTTAGCACAGTGGTGCAGCGCCTACCTTGCAAGCGCAAGGTCTTGAGTTCAATCCTCGGTACTGGGGTGGGGGGAGGATCTGGAGGTGGGGTGTCAGGACCTCTTGAACCTCCTTTGGTTTTTTTTTTTTTTTTTTTTTGGTGCCAGGGATAGAACTCGGGGCCTTGAGCTTGCAAGGCAGGCGGCAGAACCACTGAGCTAAATCCCCGGCCCTTTTGCCTCTTCTATTTTGGTGACAAGTGTCAGGGACAGCACAATAAAGCGTTACTGAGCGACTTTTATGAGACAGTATGGGTAGAAGTGGCAGGGATATAGTATGTGCTCAATTAGTATTGGTTTCTCTTAGGGAGGGTCTCGTTTTCCCAAGAGCAAAATTTTAAAGCATGGCATTATTGATATTTCTGGCCCATTATTTCTCTGTTTTGAATGCCCCTGTGCCTATAGGATTTGTAGTAGCAGCAGCCCTGGCCTCTACCCACTAGTACACTCCACTCCTAGCTCTCATCTTGTGACAACCAAAAATATCTCCAGACAAATGTACCCTGGGGGGCAAAATTGCCCGTGGTTGAGAACTAATGCTCTGGAATGATCTTTGGCAGTGCTTTATGGTGAAGGTAGGAGCATCAGGGAAGTCTGGCTTCACTGTTTCCTGGCCCATCCCATGCTGCCTTGGGTCATGTAGGCAGCTGCAGGCCCCACCAGGGCCCTCCTTTCCCTGTGCCTGTAGGGGAGATAGTGTATCTAGACTCCATCATGAGCATTTGCACCATGCTTACTTCTCTGCAAATGATGAGTGTGAGGGACAATTTCCATAGCCCTTGGCATGCCTGGTTCTGGGCCAGTGCTGGCACAAAGCAACCAGAAATGTCTCTGTCGTGGTGGAACATCTATGGCCCTGTGGATGTCAGGGAGCTGTGCTCACTGTGAGGGCTGTCAGACATTTCTCTCTCTCTGGTAGGGCTGAGGACAAAGTGTGAGGAGGACATGACATTAGGGTGCATTGGCTCTGGCTTCCTCCTGCTGCCAGGGAGAAAGGTAGCCTTAGGAGGTCATGGCAAGGTGATGGTCTCACTGGGGCCAGGAATTGGGGGCTGTGATACAGTGTGGTGAGCAGCATGGCCTGATGGTCAGCCCTGCAGGATCCTTCCTGTGACTGACTGCAGGAACCCTAAGACTGGCCCCATGAGGGAGACAGGTCCTGGGGTTTCCGGCCTCTGTGTGCTGGCCTGTCTGGGTGGTGGATGCCTCCTGTTACAAAGGGAACTTCATGCTGATGTTCCCTATTGAGGCTGCCTCTGACCAGCCACGCCCCCATACCTTGCACTGGCTCCCCAGAATCCATCATTTGCTCCCAGATCTCAGATCCTGCCCCTCTCCAGAGCCAGGACTCTGGATCAGTGGCAATGGACTCGCAGAGCCAGGCCTTGGCTTCTGCACCTGCTGTGACTTCCAGGGAGTGGCAGGCCCAGCAGCTGGGGAGGAGTCCAGTCTTCCTACCACCTCTCTCTCCTCCTGGTTGGCTCCTCACTTCTTCTCTCCCTGCAGGACTGTCTGTCTTAGAGAGGCCCTCAATCAGCCCCTCCTCACTCACCTGGCAGTTGTCCCAGCCTGGCCCCTCTCCTCACGTCTAGCCCCAGACTGGAGCTCCCTCCTCTAAGGTTAGATTCCAGCGACTTGTCCCATGCAACGTCTTTCCCTGCGTCCCTCAAGCATTCCCTTTCCTTGGTGTATCAAAACCTTCAGGGGTCCTCCATCTCCCCTTGACTCCGTCAACCTCCGCGTGGCCCCCCGTGGCTCTGGGTGCCATCTCAGCGGTTGACCATGGCCCTGAAGGGCCCCTCTCCACCCTCTTCTCCACCGGAGCTTCCCCTGGGTAGGTCAGGGGGAGTTCTTCTTGTAGGCTAACTCCTCCTGAGCCCTGGAAGCCCAGCGAGTTGGCCACCACCTCCAGAAACCCTCCCTATGCTCTGCAAAAGCCAGGCAGGGCATGCTCTGAACTGTTGGGTCTCCGCAGCAGCTGGATGTGGAGGAGAGGCCAGAGCGCTGCAGCCAGCTGAAGAGGTCGCAAGCGAGGCACCCACGGAGGGGGTAAAGCAGGGAGCCAGGAGGAGCGAGTGTGTCAGCCTGACTCCCCTCCTCCAACCCCCCCCAACTAGTTTAAGGGTTCCCTGGTGGGCGGAGAGGGATGGGGTGGGGCCTCTGGCAGGGGGCGGGGCAAGGCTGGGGACCCGGACCGTTCGGGTGGGGCTGCGCGCGCTGGCCCGGCAAAGACGCGTGGAGTCGCAGCGCCCTCGCTCTGCTCGCCGGCTCGGCCACCCCCGGCCCTTTGGCACCTGGCGCGCCGCTGTCCCGACTCCAGATGGGGAAGGACCAGGGCTTCTCTCGGCACTTTAGGTAGCTTCCCCACCGCGCGCCCCCGGGAACTGTGCGCCCTGGGCGTGGCAGACTCACCTCGGGGCAGCCTGAAAGGGGTGGGGCGGGGGCATAGAGGGGCTTTCAGGCCTGGGTCGGCACCTCCTGAGCCTAGGCGGAGCCTGGGTGCTGGGGAGGTTGGAAATAAACGGGGTGTGTACAAGGGCGGTGAGGTTTGAGTGCTGGGTGCCGGGAACTCGCGCCCAGCCCGGGGAGTTGAGGGTCGGAAGGAAGAACTAAGATTGAAAAGCACTCTTCCCTTCCTGCGCTGGATGAGGGGACAGTGCCGAGGAACCAGGCTTGGGTCGGGTGCTCTGGGTGAGAATCCAGATCGTCCTGTCCCGAGTTTAGAAGGCACAACCTCTCCACAGCTGCACACCCCAGGCTGAACTACCCAGGTGAACCAGGGCACAGGGCACCCTCCCCTACCTCCACCCCCACAAGTTCGCGGGAGGATGATCAAGGGCAAGATGGAGAAGGCTGGACAGAGCCACGGAATGCAGTGGAGAGAACCCTAGGAGAGCCCCAGGGTGCAAGGTCATTGTGCTGGTCCCCCAAAGAGTCCTGGGGCCTCAGAGAGACCTGCTGGCATAGGAGGGACATGGGAGCCCTGACACCCCTTGCTGGGCTGTGGCAATCAGAGGGACAGAGAGTGAACCATCTGCAAAAGTCAGCTCAGCCCCACTGCACCTGGCTCTGCTGGACCAGCCAATTTGGAGCAGTCGGGGGCTGGGTGACTGAGCCAGGCTGAGCTGCATGGAGCATCCACGGGAGCCAGGCAGGGTGTCTGGCTCACCAGGCAGCCTTGGCTTCTGGCCCAGGCCCAAGGACGCCAAGCAGGGAGTGGGCCACTGACCTTATTCCACCTGTGCAATTGGTGACTCAGCCTGGTTCCCACCAGGGGCACCAACTTTGCCAGGGCTGGTCACCTGACCCCTGCCTGGGCTGGACTCTGGGGCTGGCTGCGTGGGGTCTATACCTTGCAGAACTGGCAGCTGGAGCCCCACATATGGGACGGACAATCTCAGGCTTGTCATCCCTCCTCTGGTGGGCATGAGGCAGGCAGACTTGGAGGGTGTGGGTAATGTGCAAAGCAGGCAGATGAAGATGTCAGGCTCTAGAGACCTTGAGTGACCATCTGAGGGAAGGAAGCTGAGGCTGCAGTTTGCGGGAATTGTTGCGGGTGGGTAGGAATGGCCACCTGGCACAGCTAAATGGGTCATTCATTCTGGTCTCCTGGTCACCTGGAGCAAACCTTGCCAGGGGGCAGGGCCAGCACACCCCCTCTGGGAAGATCTACACCCCTTCCATACCAGGCAGCTTGCTCTCCTTGCCTGCCCTTATTTATCCTACCCTCAGTGATGGGGGGACTGTGTGGGTCACAGGGCAACCTCAGAGGGAGTGTACTTCAGCTGGCTACAAGGCCATTGCTTCCTCTCTCTCCCCCTACCCATCATGCCCTTGGCACTGGCACTTAGTACAAAGAATGGGGAAGGGAGCCTTGGGATGCTGCCAGAGAGATCTTGCTAATGTCAGAATCCCGGTGCAGGGCTGATGCTCAGGAGGCTAGGCTCTCATTCCAGCCGTGCCAGGGGCCAGCTGTACAATCCTGGAAGGTTATGGATTCCCTCTGTGCCTCAGAATCCTCTGCCTTGGATCACAGAGTCCACCAGGATATTAGCTGCTGTTGTTATGCAGAGATGTAGTTGCACTGCTGGCAGATGCACTCCTTCCAGGTGCCAGGCCCCGGTTAATTAGCGCTGTAGCTCACAACCCAGCTGCAGACCCAGCCTTCAGCGGGCTCCCTGGCTGGGGTTCACTCCAGGCTGTGACCATGGGGGGGGGGGGGCGTTCCTCCCTCACCACTTCCAGGTGACCCTGGGGAGGAGGAGCCAGGGGCTCCTTTAGCTGAGCCTCAGTGTCTGGCTCACTAAATGCATGCAGGATGAAACTGAAGGGAGTACTGGGTGTGAAAGGGCAGCCCTGTTTAGCTGAGGGAACAGAGAGGGGAGCGGGTAGGGGCAACAGCCTGGGCAAAAATTTTAGAGCTTGGACTGAAGGTGACCATGTGGGATTTCTGGCAAATTCCCAGTACGCAGCTGTGCTGGCCAAGGAAGCAGGCAGGAAGACAGGAGATGCCTGGGGCTTGCTCTGGAAGGGGCAAAGCGTGAGGAGAGTGAGTTGGGTAGAGGCCAGAGGAGGAAGACAGAGGCCAGGGGAGGAACTGGCCCATGGGCTGACTGTGAGGGCACTGAGGCCCCGCAGAGACTAGAGTAGTACCAGGCAGTATGATCCTGCTTTCCCGAGGGGGAGCGAGCAGGTCGCCGCGGACTTGGTGTGGCCCAGCGCAAATCCGGGCATGGAGTGGGAGACGGGGTGCCTGCTGCGGATTCCCCCGCCACCCTCGGGCAGAGTGGAGCCCGATGAAAAGGCGACTTTGGACCGCAGGCGGGACGCGGTCCGGAGGCGCGCCCCAACTCTGCGGTCCTCGCCGGCAGGATCTTCATCCCCAAGAAGCACCGGGCGCGCTTCGACGAGGTCGTGTCACAGGGCCTCCTGGGCAAGCTGTGCCGCGCCCGCCGAACCCAGGGCGCGCAGAGGCTGCGCAGGAGCCGCAGCGAGGAGCGGCCCGAGCGCCTCCTGGTGTCCACGCGCGCTAGCGCCGCGCCGCGCCGCCCGGACGAGCCGCCCCCGCGCAAAGCTGCCTCGCTGCTGGGTGGCCGCGCCGGCCCGGGGGGCGCGCGCAGGTACCCGGGGCGCGCGGGCACTGAACGCCAACCCCCTTCTGGCACAGGCTGGGGATGAGGGAGTGGGCAGAGGGCGTGGGGTGGGGAACAGAGGAGGTTAAGAGGAGTGGCCTATGGGACATCACCATCCCTGAAACGGGACCCCCTCTCCCGATTTCCACCCTGCCCCTTCTTCCTTCCCAGGACTGTCCGAGTCTACAAGGGCAATAAGAGCTTTGGCTTCACTCTACGTGGCCACGGGCCTGTCTGGATTGAGTCTGTCCTGCCTGGTAAGGACTGGGCAGTTTGTCCTAAGAGTTCCCAAAGCCCAGGACGAGGTGAAGGCCCTCTGGTAGGCCTCCCTGGTAATTCTACCCGTGCAGACTGCTGCTCACCCATGCCCCACCCCCTCCATCAGGTGCCAACCTCATGTAGCCTGTGCCCCCTGAGTGTCCCAGGGCCAGCATCTCCAAATCAACCATCTACCCAAGATGGTTGAGTCCAGAGGTCTGGGTTCTGACCTCTCTGCTCCAAGTTCACTGTCACTGCCACTGAAGTGAGCCAAGTTCTTCATCCTGACCTGTCTTTATCCACCAGAAGGGCTAGGGTCACTTCCTGGGACACCGGAGCAGCCAGAATAGAGCTGGTGCCTCCCGAGCTGAGCCCCAAACAGCATGCCCTGGGCAGAGAATCCACTGTGACCTGGCCACTTGCTGGCAGGCCAGACTCAGAGAGATGGCACGGCCCCCAGGCCTTGCCACCCTCGAACATGCTCCCCAAATCTGGATTCCCTGTCTCCTTCCAAGCAGCCTACCCCTGTTTGCTCCTGAAAGTGTGGCATCTTAAAGATAGCAGAGCCTTTCACATGCAGGAACCCTTTCCTTCCCCTTCGGCAGAGTGGAGGTGGAGGGGGACTCATTTCCATCACAGGAGGTTGCAGTGGGGCAGAAACATCTCCTGACGTTGAATTGAACTCTCCCTCCTTGTAACCAACCACCCCATAAGGTTGGGTCACCTCTCTGGGTCACCTGAGCACGATGCTCCTCTTGGTACCTCCCCATTGATACCCTTCTGCATCTCACTTTGTTTGTGAGGTGGGAAAGCACCACAGCCCCTTTGCATCATTCTGAGACCTACTGTTGATAACTCGCAGGGTGCAGTTCTTTTCAGCTGTGAGCTTCACTAAACTTTTGCCAGTAGAGCAAGGAGAAGACCCAAGGAACTGCAGTCCTTCCAGACAGGCTGTACTGGGTTAGCCAGCACTATCACTCTCTCCTTCCAATCTCAAGGCCTGCCTCGCCCAGGAAGTCTTCCTTGACTGTTCTCTTCCTCTCCAGACAATCTCCACAGCCTCAAGAGAGAACATTTCACCATCTGACCGTGTATTTTATTTAGCATTTATCATTTCCCCTACATGTTTCCAAGTCAAAGTTAGTGTGAGGACCAATAAGAGATAGAAATAAAAAATTATAGCAACCAGCCTCCCTCTGAAGCAGAGAGTGAGAATTAGTTGTTCCCATGTGTTTTGTTTTGTTTTGAATTGTTTTAGTTTTTGGATACTGGGTCTCTCTATGTAGTTCAGGCTGGCTTTGGATTCACTTGTAGCCCAAGCTGGCCTCAAACTTTCAGCAGTCCTCCTGCCTCAGCCTCCCAAATGCTGGTGTTACAGGCATGCGCCACCACACCTGACTTGTTTTTTAATTTTGATTTTGTTATCTTTGAGGTACTGAAGATTGAGCACAAGGCCTTCATACTGAGCTGCATCCCCGGCTGTTTCTTTTTTTGCGGCGGCGGGGGGGGGGGGGCGCTGGACAGGATCTCACTAAGCCACACAGGCTGGGCTTGGACTGATAATCCTCCTGCCTCAGCCTCTCAGTGTGCTGGAGTTGCAGGCCTGTGCCATCATGCCCAGCTGTTCCCATGTGTTTTAGAATATAAATGTTACTATTACTCAGGCATGATGAGACCCACAGGTTGGAAAGATGTACTTAGAGGGGAATCCTTTATGGTCCCCAGCTGAGTCTCCTTTCTCACCTGTACAGCAGGAGAATGGCACGTGGCCCTGCCCAGCTGACCAGCACACCCTTTCTCCCGCTTCCAGGAAGCCCAGCTGACAGCGCAGCCCTCAAGTCTGGTGACCGGATCCTCTTCCTCAATGGACTGGACATGAGGTCAGAGGCTACTGGGAACATCAGAGCCCAGTGAGGAACTATCCCCCAGGACTCTTGGCCTTGGGACAGCCAAGCCAGGGTCCCAGTCTCCTCTGACCCTTTAACCCCCAGCATCCGTCATCTTCCACTGGGAACTCTTGAACCAACCCCCTCCCACCTGGCCAGGACCCCAGTTCATCCAGAAAATAATACTCCTGTTCTGTGCTGGGGACACGGAATTGAAGGGACCATCTCCATCATGCTCTGGAAGGGGAGTTCCACCTGGGGATGACATGGGCACAGCTCCTTCCATACCCAGAGGCCCAGAGCAGCAGCAAGCCAGGCTGCCTGAGGCCTGGGGCTTCTCCTGCACAGGAGATTACCGAGCAGGAGAGGCAGGGGCCTGGCTAGTCTGCCCCAGCTGCTGTGTGGCCGCTGTGCGCAGGACAGGGAGGTCTGGCTGGTGGCCGTGGACAGGGCTTACCCATCAAGCCTTCCTGGGCCATTTCTGCTTGGCAGGAACTGCTCACACGACAAAGTGGTGTCCATGCTACAGGGCAGTGGCGCGATGCCCACACTGGTGGTGGAGGAAGGGCTCGTCCCATTTGCCAGCGGTGAGACTCCCGTGCTTCCTCGGCCCACAAATATGAGATGTACCAGTCTGCAGAGCACTTTGCTCTTCCCCCAGACCTGCAGCTTCTCTTCCCAGGGCTTCCCCCAGAGGATGCTATAGAGCCACCATGTCCAGGGCTCTCCCTTCATCCTGTTCCCAGCTGCCGAGGAAACTCCCTTGGACAAGAGACTTGGTCAAACATGCCTCCTCTGCCTGTGGTCCCAGCAGACTCCGATTCTTTGGATTCCCCCAACCCATCCTCGGCGGTCACCTCCCTGCAGTGGGTGGCAGAGATCCTGCCGTCCAGCATCCGTGTCCAGGGAAGGACATTCAGCCAGCAGCTGGAGCACCTGCTCAGGCCTCCCGAGCGCTATGGTGTCTGCCGGGCTTTGGAGAGCTTCTTCCAGCACAGGTGGCCGGGCAGGATGGTGGTGGGGCTCTGTCCAGGGTGTGTCCCAGGTCCTACCCAGACTCACCATCCCGGTCTCCCCGCATGAGCCTTCTTAGCCCTTTCTCTTGGGGGAGGTTTCAGGAGCAGCTGGTACCAGACACCCCTGGGTGGGGGGGGAGGCATTGGGCTGCCCTAGGACAAACCCTGACTCTGACACATCCTAGCCATATGACCTTGGGAAAGTCACAGCCTTCTCTGGGAAGTGAGGCAGACAAGGACAGCGCGTGGGACCTCCAGGGAGCCTCGCCCGTGGGATTGGCCCTTGGGGTGAAAGTAGGGGAATCTTTCTACACCTCAGCTGCAGCAGGCTGCCTTTATCACTCCTGTCATCCCATGTCATTATCATGATCTGTGCCAAGAAGCCCTTCACTTTTCATTCCCTTTTCCTTTGCCTCCCCTCCCAACCTCCAGAGCCTTGGACATGCTAAGCAAGTGCTTTCCTGCTGAGCCACAGCCCCTGCCTTTCCATTTCTTTCTTTTTTTTTTTTTTTTTGGTAGTGGGGATTGAACTCGGGTCCTTGCACTTGCAAAGCAGGCGGCGGAACCACTGAGCTAAATCCCCGGTCCCGTTCCAATTCTTTTGTTTAAACACACTATAGACTTGACCCATTTAAGTGTACAATTCAGAGATTTTTTTTTTTGTAAATTCACAAATATGTGCAATCGTTGGGCCAGGCATGGTGGCACATGCCTGTAATCCCAGCACTTGGGAGGCAGAGGCAGGAGGATTCCTGTGAGTTTGAGGCCAGCCTGGGCTACATAGTGAGTTCAAGGCCAAGCTGAACTACATAGTGAGACTTTGTCTCAGAAAACCAGAAACAAACAAACACACAAAAAAACCAAAAATGTGCAATTGCCGTAATTGATGGTAGAATTTCATCAAACACACAAAAAAGCCCATCCTGACCTTAAGCAACCAATAATCTACTTTCTGTCTCTGTAGATTTTCCTATTCCGGACTTTCACATGAATGGAATCATATAATATGTGGACTTTTATGTCTGGATTCTTTCACTTAGCATCATATTTTCTTTTTTATTTGTTTCTTCTTTCTTTTGTTTAGCATCATATGTTCAAAGTATGAGGTATAGTGTGTACTTCATTCTCTTCTACATCCCATAAGAATAGCTGTACCACATTTTGTCCATCCATTTGTCCAGTGATGGACATCTGGGTAATTCTAACCTCCATTCCTTTTTGGCTGTAGTTTCTCTCCCATTTATATCCACTAGTCTGGCAGGTTTACTGGGGATTTGTTTGAAGGTATTCTCTTAAAGAGTGCATTGCTATTTGATATGATGAATTTTTCTTTTACATCATTGTTGCATTGCCTTCTTCTTCTTCTCCTTCTGCTTCTCCGTCCCCCCCCCCTTCTTCTTCTTTCTTTTTTTCCCCCTGGTACTGAGGATTGAACTCAGGATCTTGTGCTAAGGCAGGCGTGCTGCTGAGCTAAATCCCTATCCCTGTTGCATTGCCTTCTGTGTCTGACTTTTCCACCAAGTACTGTGTGTTTAGTTCCGTCCACATGTAGGTCTGTGTCCACTTAATGTATTGTTTGTAACTGCAGCCAAATTTCCATCAGTTGCAGCACTATGCACCTTTTTATTTTTGATAGTCAGGAAATTGATGCTGGAAATTGAACCCAGCATCTTCACACTGAGCTACACCCCCAGGCCTTGTTTGTTTGCTTTTAATTTTTAAGACAGGGTCTCACGAAGTTACTCAGGCTGGGCTTGTACTTGCAGTCCTCCTGCCTCAGCCCCTAAGAGTGTTGCGATTATAAGCATGCACCACCACATCCAGCTCCTTGATTTTGATCATTGTAAATATCTTATCCCATTTGTTACTCCCATTATTGTTCTGTGTGTGTCCATTATTAATGTGTCTAGGTTGTACTTCCTTGAACAAATGTCCTTGAGTTTGTCTAATCAGACTCACCGCATTTTTTGGTCTTATAACTTTGGCTCTTATAACTTTTAGTCTTATAATTTTTCTTCTTCTACATCAACAATATTCTCTTAATTTTATAATTTTACCTTTCATCCAACCAGAGTTCACTTCTATATGTGATGTTAGGTAAAGATCCAGTTCCAGAAGCTGGGTATAGTGGCGCATGCCTGTAATCCCACCACTTGGGAGGCTGAGTCAGGAGGATTGCTTCAAGTTCAAAGCCAGCCTGGGCTATATAGTGAGTTCAGTGCCAGCCTGAACTATATAACTAGACCCTGTCTCAAAAACCGAACAAAAGGGCTGGGGATTTAGCTCAGTGGTTCTGCCGCCTGCCTTGAAAGCATAAAGACCCGAGTTCAATCCCCGGTACCAAAAAACAAACAAACAAACAAACAAAAAAATCCAATTTTATTTTCCCATAGATTTCAGGAGTCAGCAATATGTTTCTATGAAAGGTCAAATACTCTAGTAAACATTTCAGGCTTTGTGGTCCTTGTGGGCCTCTATCACAACTACTCAACCCTTCCATAGTAGCTAGGAAATAGCCAGAGATAAAATATAAACAATGGCTGTGACCACATTTCAGTAAAACTTTCTAGTTGTGTGTGGTGGCGCACACCTATAATCCAGTATTTGAGAGGCTGATCTGGAAGATCGCTGTGAGTTCGAGGCCAGCCTGGGCTACATAGTGAGTTCAAGGTCAACCTGGACTACATAGTGAGACCTGTCTCAAAACAAGCAAACAAAAGACAGGTGGTGGACCAGATTTTAGGGCCCGGGCCATTGTCTGCTAGTCCGTGATACAGTGAGTCCATTTTCCCAATGCACTTTTTATGTTTTAATCTTCATAACAGCTCTGTGTGGTAGACGCTATTTTTATCCCCATTTGACAGATAAAGAAACTGAGACACAGAGAAGTTAAGTACCTTGAGCTATCTGGTAAGCAACAGAGTCAGGATTTAAAGCTGAGCAGCCTGTTTCCAGAGCCTGCCTACCCTGTCCACTGTGCTCTTTTCAGGTTGGAGCAGAGGCTAAATCCTGTGGCCTAGAGGTGCCACTTTGCCCACCCCGACACTCCTAGGCACCCCTGATTGAAGCCCCTTGCTCCTGTGCCCTCCCCAGGAACATCGACACCCTCATCATTGATGTCTACCCGGTATTGGACACACCTGCCAAGCAACTGCTTTGGCAGTTCATCTACCAGCTGCTGACCTATGAGGAGCAGGAGCTGTGCCAGGAGAAGATTGCATGCTTCCTGGGATACACAGCCATGACAGGTAAGCATCCCTTTCCCCTGGCCCCTTCTCTGCCTGTGGCTGCCAGCTGCTCGGCCTGGCAGGTAAACAGACACCTGTTCTTACCTATGAGGTCTCAAACCTGACCCTGCCACTCCCACTATAGATGTGTCAGGCAAATACACACACAGCACATTGGGGCTTGCCCCATGCTTGGCCTTGAGGATGTGCCTGCACAGCCTGACCTCATGCAGCATAACCTGAGCCTTAAGACTCCCCCTCACCTCTTGGGGTCTCAGGAGTCTCATGCACAAAATGAGAGTAATCTCAGTGGCTGTGCTGTGCACCCTGGCAGGTATAGAATGGAAAAATTCACATTGATGCCAGCACTCTGGGAAGCTAAGGCAAGAAGATTGCAAGTTCAAGCCAAGCCTGGGTAACTTAATTACTTAGTGAGACCCTGTCTCAAAATAAAAATTTAAAAAAGGACTGGGTCAGGCGTGGTGACACATGCCTTTAATTCCACCACTTGGGAGCCTGAGACATGAGGATTGCCATGAGTTTGAAGGCAGCCTGGGCTACGTAGTGAGTTCAAGCCCAGCCTGAACTACACACCAAGACCCTGTCTCAAAAAGAAAGAGAGAGAGGGGCTGGGGATTTAGCTCAGTGGTTCTGCCACCTGCCTCACAAGTGCGAGGTCCTGAGTTCGATCCCCGCTACCAAAAAAAAAAAAGAGAGAGAGAGAAAGAAAGAAAGAAGGAGAGAAAGAGAGAAAGAAAAGTTCACATGATCACTGTTTGTAGATACACCAGCCCCATGCCACCTGGATCCTGAGCATGTGGTCGGGCCATTGTGGGTGGTGGCCTCCAGCACACAGCACACACGTGCTGCCTTCCAGTGAGAGTGTGCCCCTGCGTGCCCACAAAACTATGCACTTCCTGGTTGATGCCTGGTGTCCTGGGGCCCTGCAGGGAAGGGCCCCATATTTCTGCAGATGGCTTCTCCCTCACCCTCCTTGCTTGTGGAGGCGTAAAGGACAAGAGTCCCATTTCCCCTCTACTTCCCACAGCAGAGCCTGAGCTTGAGCCTGAGCTGGATCTAGAGCCTGAGTCTGAGCTGGAACCCGAGCCCACACCAGAGCCCCAGCCTCGGATCTCCCTGAGGGCCTCTTCCATGTGCCGGCGCAGCCTCAGATCCCAGGGCCTGGAGGCCAGCCTCAGCTGTGGTAAGGCCCGGATGGAAAGTACAGCAAGTTGGAGGTAGGACTGGGGCTCAATTTTCCCACCTGCAAAATGGGCTTGGTGAGATGAGAAACTGACAGGACTAGGGGCCAGCAAGGCTGGACAGTGGCCTCTCTGGGTCTGCAGAGCTTGTTGGGTCTGGACTGGGCCTGAGCCTTAGGGCTCAGGTTTAGAAGCAGGGCATGGTGGCACATGGCTGTAATCCTAGTGCTGGGAGGCTGAGGCAGGAAAGTTGCAAGTTCAGTCCCAGCCTGGATAACTCAGTGACCCTATCTAAAAAAGGAGGGTGGGCTGGGAGTTGTAGCTCAGTGCAAGACCCTGGGTCAAAGCCCTGACACCACAAAGGAGAGAAAAAAAAAGCTCAGGTGTGGTAACTAGATCTCCATGGCAATCTCCTGGCAGGTCTCAGCGACTGCCCTGAGATGCCTCTTCCTCTGATCCCAGGCGAGCGCCAGGCAGGTGACGGCACATCCCTCCCTGAGACCCCCAACCCCAAGATGGTGAGACCTCCCTTGCCTTCTATGTGGAGTCAGTGTGGGTGGGGACTGGGTGGCCCATGGGGCAGGGCCCACCCCCCACCCCATGCCAAGGCATCCTAGGGGCTACTTCAGGCTTGAGCCAAACACCCAGACCTGGCCTCTGCTGCCCTGCTGGGGAGTCATGGGGGTAATCTGGGTTGGATGGATTCACCCATCTCCCCCAGATGTCAGCTGTCTATGCGGAGCTGGAGTCTCGACTGAACAGCAGCTTCAAGGGGAAGATGGGGACCGTGTCCAAATCCCAGGCCTCCCCCGCAGTCCCTAGCCTGGTGGGCACAGCAGGTAAGAGCTCAGGCAGCTCTGGATCCTCAGGGTGTGCTGGCCTCTGTCCTCAGGGCTGTTTATCTGAGTGTCATCCCCACCCCTGGGCACACCCCTGGAGCTTCCTTTCTCTCTGCTCTGTGGCCATGAGACTAGGTTGTGGAGGGTGCCAGAGGCCTCCATGCATGGGTAGGACTCCCTGTGGTCAGGCTTGTCCCAGCCCCTTGTCCCCTGTGGTCCTTACCCAAGCTATCTATCTGGAAAAGCAGATAACTGCCCCCAAGGAAGTTCCTGGGTTAGCTGGTGGCTCTTGGATAAACTATGAAGTGCATGCAGTGCTCCATGAATGGCCCCGGTGGGAAGATGGTTTCCTGGGTATGGGAGATGCCTCCTACCCCTTACCTGGGGCCTAAAGAAAGCCCCTCCCTCATTTGAGTTGGGTCTCTGGTGAGACTCCTGGGATCTGTTCCCAGAGGATCTGGGGTCTGCCCTGACTTGAGTTCAAGTTATTCCCTCCCTGCCACTAGCTCTGTCCTCTAGTCACCCTTAGGGAAGATGGGAAGGTCACCCAGGGTCTTCTGTGCTATGCCCAGGGAGGGAAAGGGTGGTGTCCAATACACAGAACCCACCCACTCCAGCCCCTCCCCTCCAGCCTGCTCCAAGAACCCAGGTGTTGGCTGAAGAGGGGACCTCACGCTCTATCTCCTGCATCCCCCATGCAGCGCCCAGGACCCTGTCCAGCATCTCATGGCCCAGAGAGCAGCTCTTCCCCTCCCCCTGCTACGACCCGCTGTGCTCAGGGGGCCTGGGCTCCCCCAGCAGCTCTGAATCTCACCCCTACGCCAGCCTGGACAGCAGCAGGGCGCCTTCCCCTCAGCCAGGCCCCGCACCTGCCTGCCCTGACAGCCCCCCCAGCCCGGACCTGGCCCGGCCACCCAGCCACAGGAAGCTCTTCACCTTTTCACGCCCTGTGCGGAGCCGGGACACTGATCGCTTTCTGGATGTGCTGAGTGAGCAGCTAGGCCCCCCGGTCACCATCGTGGATGATTTCCTGACGCCCGAGAATGACTATGAGGAGGTGAGCATACACGCAGGGGTGGGGCTCTGCTAGGGTAGCAGTGTGGCCGCTTCTATAAGAGGCCTGCTGCAGGCCTGAGCACGGCGGTGCACACCTGTAATCCCAGCACTCTCCAAGGCTGAGGCAGGAGGATTGCACGTTCAAGCTCAACCTGGGCCCCTTGGTAACTTAGTGAGACAATCCCCAGTACCAAGAAAAAAACCCTTCTTCCCTCCAGATCTCCCCTGTGCTAGGTCCCCACCTGCTCCTATTTGGCCTACAGTCTGTTTCAGGCTACCCTAGTCCCTGGCTGGAGCTACCCCAAGCCTTCCTAACTTCTTTCTCTATTAGAGGTCATCCTGCCCTTTGCCTGAAGCTTCCTATATACAGTGTGTCTCGGGTTACCCCTTCCTCATCCCAGGCTACCCACTCAGTCTCAGGAGAAGCCGCCAGGCTCTTCTGTCCCTTTCCCAAATGATCCCACCCTTTTCGTGAGGCTACCCCTTAGCCCATCTCTGATCAGACTGTTCCTGGTCCCAGGCTATCCTCCACCCGTCCATATTCTCCCATCTGTAGCCTCAGGTTAGCCCACCACACTGTCTTACTGCTGCCCCAAGCTCTCCCACTCCCCTCCCCAGCCTCCCTGCCACCTCACCCCACCAGCCTGCGCTGGACTCTCTGGGCATAGCCCTGCCCTGCCCTGACTCGCTCTCCCCCTAGATGAGCTTTCATGATGACCAGGGCAGCTTTGTCACCAATGAGCGGAGCAGCGCTAGCGAGTGTATCAGCAGCAGCGAAGAGGGCAGCTCCCTGACCTACTCCTCCATCTCAGATCACATCCCACCGCCGCCACTCAGCCCTCCCCCCCCACCCCTGCCTTTCCATGACCCCAAGCCCAGCTCCCGGGCCTCTGACACTCCCCGGGGCCCCCCTCAGGCCCTGGCTAAGCCCCTTACCCAACTCAGCCACCCAGTCCCACCCCCACCCCCACCCCCGCTGCCCCCACCTGTGCCCTGCGCGGCCCCCATGCTATCCCGGGGCTGGGGTCACCGGCGCAGTGAGACCAGCCACATGAGCGTCAAGCGCTTGCGGTGGGAACAGGTGGAGAACTCGGAAGGCACCATTTGGGGGCAGGTAAGTGACTGGGGGCCCTTGAGGGCCCTGATCTGAAGTGGGTGGTCTGGGCCGCAGCACTGACAAGAGCATCAGCTGGAACATTCCCTGGTCCTCTGCACCCACACAGAGGAGGGGAGGCCCAGCCCAACAGACACCCACCCATGATCTATGCTGGCACTGAAGCCAATCTGTGTCCCTAAGCCAAAGACACACTGAGGACATCTGGAAATGCCACATCCTTGAGGCCAGACTAATTCTTTAGGCTCTTAAAGGACTGGTGATCTGCTCCTCGCCTGAAAACCCAGATGACTTAGCTTCCCCTGCAGTTTCCTCCTGATCTTGGCTTTATCCCTGGGCTTGATGGAGCCAGGACAATTCTCAGAGGGGTCTTGGGCAGGGGAGGGCAGTTTAGCTGTGGTGGCTCCTCCCACTCTGAGCTTCCCATACTCTCCCACAGCTCGGGGAGGACTCTGACTATGACAAGCTGAGTGACATGGTGAAGTACCTCGACCTGGAGCTCCACTTCGGCACCCAGAAGCCTGTCAGTGAGTGGCTTGAGAGCAGGCCCTGGGGAAAGTCCAGATACCACGGCCCAGGCCATCCTGTGGCTTAGAGTCCCCAAGGGCTGCCCTGCCTGGTATTTACCTAATATGTCTCCAAGCCTTTAAGCCTTCACTTACTTTTCCTATTTCAAAGCAGAGATAGTAATAGTGGCGGGCAGTTGTTGAGTGTGCTCACCAAACACCAGATGCTCTCATTTCTAAATCAATCCCGTGACAATTTTACGCGCAGATTCCAAGATCACCTCCATTTCCTAATGAGGAAATGCAGAGAGGTTGGGTAACTTGCTCAAAGTCACACAACCAGAATAGGGTGGAGAGAAGGCATCCTCAAATACTTCTTCCAATCTCCCTCTCCCCCTCCCCCTTCTGAATATCCCTCTGGAGTGGTTGGGTGGGGTGCCAAACAGCCAGGGTTATTGCATGTGGTTGGTGGTCTCAGCACGGAGGAGAAAGGCTTGTTCATTCAAGAATCATGTGAGGGGGGCCGGGGATTTAGCTCAGTGGTTTCGCCACCTGCTTCACAAGCACAAGGACCGGAGTTCGATCCCCAGTACCAAAAAAAAAAAAAAAGAATCATCTGAAGGATCAAGTGGTTGGTTTTCATTACTTTACCAGCTCAGTCCCTAGGCCCCAGGGGAGAGAGGGCATTTGAAGAGGCGCCAGTGGGGTCATGGACACTTCTCCCACTAAGTGCGTTGGACTAAACCTAGGCATCCACAGGTGGGAGGGTGAAGAATGAGGGGAGTCTGGACACCAGAGCTGATTTCAGACAAGGTGGTGCTTGGGGGAGGAGGGTCCCTTGGCCAAGGCTGAGCGCACACCTCTTCTGGCCCCTGCCATGGCAGCCCCAAGCTCGAGTACTCAACTGTCTGGTTTCCCTTCTAGAGCCCGTGCCCGGGCCTGAGCCCTTCAGGAAGAAGGAAGTGGTGGAGATCCTGTCCCACAAGAAAGCCTACAACACTTGTAAGAGGCCAGAGAATCCCAGGGATTCTAGGGGCAGGTGGTGCCTCCTCTCTCTGGACCACAGAGCCTTGGACCCACCTGGGTGGATGACAGAGATTAGGCTGTGGAGGCCTGGACACCTGTCGCCCGGCTGGCTGAAAGCCCCTCCAAGGCCCTATGGCTATCGAATCCCACCTGGGCACAGGTGTGGGCCTTGGCTCCACCCTGCATTGGCCCCGCCCTCTGCAAGCTCTTCCCCAGTTCTGGTCCGGCCTCCAGCCACATCCTCTGTGCCTCGATGACTTCTTCTTCGCTGTGGCCCCATCTAGTTTCTTGCTTCTCTAGGACCCCGCATTTACCCTTACATCAGTCTCAGAAGGGCTCCGGGACCACCCCCGCCTCTCCTCTAGCAGGCCCTGCCTCCTCTCTTACGTCCTCCACTGTTTCCACCCTGTAGGCCTGCCCTCGAAGCCCCGCCCTCTCTCCGGACCCCGCCCACTCCCGCCCTACCAGAGGCCACGCCCCCTTCCCGTCCCCGCCCCGGCTCACTCGGTCCCGCCCACAGCCATCCTCCTGGCGCACCTGAAGCTGAGCCCCGCAGAGCTGCGGCAGGTGCTTATGAGTATGGAGCCCCGGCGCCTGGAGCCCGCGCACCTGGCGCAGCTACTGCTCTTCGCCCCCGACGCCGACGAGGAGCAGCGCTACCAGGCCTTCCGCGAGGCACCGGGCCGCCTCAGTGAGCCCGACCAGTTCGTCCTGCAGGTGCTGCGCCCGCGACCCCGCCCCCGTCAGGGGGTCCCGCTGTGGACGCGCTGCCTGTGTTTCGCGTTCCCTCGGTACTGCCACTGCGCTCGGGCCCGAGTTCCAGTTGAACACATTTGGTTTTTTTCGGTACTGGGGACTGAACCCAGGGCTTTCGCACTGGGCTACATCCTCAGAGATCACCCCACTTTTATTTTTAATTTTGAGGCAGCGTCTTGCTAACTCGCTAAATTGCCCAGTCTGGGTTGGAAATTTCGATCTTCCTCCGCCTGCCTCTCAAGTGCAAGGTCCCAAGTTCAATCCCCAGTACAAAAAAAAAAGAAAAGAAAAAGAAAGAAGTTTCGATCTTCCTGCCTCTGCTTCCCAGAGTGCTGGAATTACAGATGTTTGCCACCACGCCCAGCTAGTCTAACAATTTAAATGTCCGGTTCCATTCCGGGACAAGGTAGATGCTATGACAGCGTCCCCTAGGGACTGGGCTTACTCTTCCTAAAGGTGCACCAGGCCCAGGGACGCAGCAGAGCCTCACCCCAGGCTGGTGAGGGATGGTTGAACCCTGGTCCCGCCTTTGTGGCAGATGCTGTCAGTCCCTGAGTACAAGACGCGTCTTCGAAGCCTCCACTTCCAGGCTACCCTCCAAGAGAAGACAGAGGAGATTCGAGGCAGCCTGGAGTGCTTGCGACAGGCGTCCCTGGAGCTCAAGAACAGCCGGAAGCTCGCCAAGATCCTGGAGGTCAGGGTATATCCCCTCCCCAGTCAACTCACCCATTCCTTTTCTTGGGGTTTCCAGCCTGGAGACCCATCGTGATGCCTGGGTCTGGGTGTCTGTGAGCATATGGGCACCGTCCACCACCTGCCTTCCTTCCCACAGTTTGTGTTGGCTATGGGCAACTATCTCAATGACAGCCAGCCCAAGACCAGCAAGACCACAGGCTTCAAGATCAACTTTCTGACAGAGGTGAGAACCATTCAGGGGTAACTATGAGCTGAGTCTACCTAAGGCTTAGAAGCCAAGCCTAACTCAACTTGTGTCAGAGGGGAGGAGAGAACAAGTGACTAAGGAGGACCCTCCTCTGGGGGCAAAGTTGGCTGCACAGAGGCCAGGATGTGACTGCAGCAGGGGTGGGGATAGGGATGGCAAAGGTGGCTTCTCAGCTAAGCCTCATGATCTGAAAAAGTGGAGTAGGGGAGGAGATTTGGAAAAGTGTCAAAGGCCAGGAATTGAGCCAAGCATGGTGGCATCTGTCACCCCAACAGTCTGGGAGGTTGAGACAGGAGGATCATGAGTTTCAGCCCAGCTTGGGCAACTGGGAAATTCAGTGAGAACTGATCTGGGACATGTACCCAGGAGTCCGAGGGGGTCCATGAGGATGTATGTTGGGGGTCACTTGCAGCTGAACTCCACCAAGACGGTGGATGGAAAGTCCACCTTTCTGCACATCCTCGCCAAGTCACTGAGCCAGCACTTTCCCGAACTCCTGGGCTTTTCTCAGGACCTACCCACGGTGCCCTTGGCTGCCAAAGGTAAGCTGGGTGGATGTGCAGGGGGGCAGACTCAGGTTGTCCTGGCCTGGGAATATGGGCCCATGAGGCCTTGGTCCCCTTCCCTATAGTGAACCAACGTGCCCTGACCGGTGACCTGGCTGACCTCCATGGTACCATCAGTGAGATACAGGCTGCCTGCCAGAGCATGTCCCCTTCCAGTGAGGACAGGTTTGCTGTGGTCATGGCAGTATCCTCTGAGCTCCAATGCTGGGCCCAGGGGTGGTTGGGTAGAGCTGGTTGTGGTTCCATTGCCTGCTGCAGACTCCAGCAGAGATTCTGGACACAGGCTGTTATGTGTCCAGGAGTCTGAAAAAAATGAGGACTGTGCCTATGGCCAGGTGCTCCCCCTGGAATGCACCTGTCACGTGTCCCTGACACCAATGTATAGAGGGGTTGAATACTCAGGCAGTTTTTTTTTCAGTGCTATATATGGAACCCAGTGTCTTATACATACTAGGCAACTTTTCTACCACTGAGCTTCACCCCCAGTCCAAAGTAGGAATTTGATATCAGATTCCTCCCCATTCCTGTCAAGTAAGAGACCCAAAAGGGATCACTTACAGATCATCATTGAGCAAATACTGTGGCTATACAAGGTGCTTATCACCCTCCCCCATAGCACCCAGATTTTTACAGCTGTGGAGACCAAGGCTATTCAGGTAAGGGTTAACCTTCTGCTTTCTAGCACCCCTCAGTTCAGGGAGGCCTCCCTGCTTCCATGGGTTTGGATGGAGGTCCCCAGAGAGGGAATGGACGGCCATTCAAGGGCAGCATCTGCAGAGGAACTTGAGCTGACCAGTCAGACAGGCCTCGGTTCAAATCCTGACTCAGGCTGGCCATGGTGGGGCACACCACCTTGTGGGGGTTTTGTTTTGTTTTGTTTTGAGACAGGGTCTCACTATGCAGTTCAGGCCTTGAACTCACTATGTATCCCAGGCTGGCCTTGAACTCGTGGCGATCCTCCTGCCTCAGCCTCCTGAGTACTAGAATTACAGGTGTATGCCACCACACCAAGCCTTACACACCACCCTCTGGGAGGCTGAGGCAGAAGGATCCCAGATTCAATCCCAGGCTGGGCAATTTAGCAAGACCTCATCTCAAAATTGAATGAAAAATGGGCTGGAAATGTAGTGTGAAGGGCATGGGTTTGACCCCCAGCACTACTCCCCCCAGACATGCACACACAGGGTGGACGGGAGGCCACTGGGCAGGCTGACCCTTTCCTTAACCAAGGCCGTACAGTCCTTCCTGGAGACCGCCCAGCCCACACTGCGTGCCTTGGATGGGCTACAGCGTGAGGCCATGGAGGAGCTGGGCAAAGCACTGGCTTTCTTCGGGGAGGATTCCAAGGCCACCACCTCCGAGGCCTTCTTCGGCATCTTTGTGGAGTTCATGAGCAAGTTCGAGGTGAGCCACGGCGGAGGCCTAGGGCAGAGCCTCCTAGGGAGGTCAAGGGCAGAGGTCCCAAAAGGGGGTCCTCCCTGAAGCCCGACTAAGAAAGGGTCCCAGTGAAGTGTTCTCAGTGCTGGTGGCCTGGGGTGGGAGAAGGAGGCAGGACAGGGGTCCGAGGTCGCTCCTGACTGCCGCCCCTCCTTGTGCTCCTGCCTGCAGCGAGCGCTGAGCGACCTGCAGGCCGGGGAGGGCCCGCGCGGCTCCGGAATGACTTCGCCCCTGGCCTGGTGACGGCGGCCACGCCGCGTCCTCTGCGGCCTGAGCGAAGAGACCCACGCCGGAGAGGGCCGCGGGGACGCCGCAGAGGTCCAGGGTGCTGATCGGCGGAGCGACGGGTCTGTCCGCGGGCTGGTGGCCGCCCGCGTCTCCAGATACCTCAGCCGCCAGCGACTCCGCACTCCGGGGTGCGTGTGCAGGCACGAGCTAGGGGTGCCCGCCCCGAGGGTCCCCGGCCCCACCCGGGCTGTTCCCCGAGCTGTGCTCCGCAGGCTTCCGGCGCCAGCTCCCGGCCAACGGAATAAAGTGCTACTGTGCGCCCCGGGGATGGCGGGCTGCGGGCGGGTTGCTAAGGGATTGTAGCATCCGGGCGGCTAGGACCTGCTTTCTGAGCCTGCTGGCCCCACTAAGCCAGCACCCGGAGGCCCCTTGCCCGGCCAGGAGGAAGGCAGCGGACAGGCAGGAAAGCCTGCAGTCTGGCGCCTTGGGGACTCATTTTTGTTTTGTTTTGTTTTGTTTGTTTTGTTTGTTTTGAGACAAGGTCCCGCTGTGTATCTCAGGCTGCCCTCGAATTTGGCAGTGACGCTTCTGCCTCGGCCTCCAAGTGCTGGGATTACAAGCATACACCGTTAGGCCTGGCTTCAAGCCTGGGTCTTGGAAGGTGCTGTTGGCTGCAGCTGAGGAGGAGGCCAGGAGGAGAGCGATCGGTGAGGGATCTAGGGAAAGCTGCAGTAGAGAGACCTATTATATCAGACTGCAGGATGGAAGCACGGTTTTGTTTTGCAGGGCTGGGGATAGAACTCAGGGCTTTGCATATGTCCGGCAAGCACTGTACCAATGAGCTAGATCCCAGCACCTCAGAATTGAGGTTTTGATCCAGTGGATAAACTCAAATTCACTTTACAGGTGATCAGATCAGGGGAGGCTTGGAGCAGGGTGGGGGTCCTTAAGGTAGTGGCAGAGAGAGCAAGATGTTTAGGTGGCAGGTGAGCAGGACTTGGCCACTTGTGTTTCCTTATCTGAATGGGTGGGCTTAGGGGAAGATGACACAGTCTAGGACTTGAGTAGAATCTCAGAGGCCACTTTACGTGTATCTGGAGGTAGAGAAAGGAGTTTCCTAGTTGCCAGGAGTGAGTGGAGAAATGAGCAGGGAGCATGAGCGACTTGTTTTCAAAGTTGTTTTCTCTTGGATTTTTTCCCTCCCATCCCAATCACATGGCTAGTGTTGCTTCTGGGAAGAACTTTGGGCCCATTTGTTTCTTTCCCGTCTCCTACAGTCCTCCTCTTTGAGTCCATGTATGTACATTCTTTGTTCCCCACTCACAATCCCATGTAAAAATGTCTAAATGAAAATGTATACTTCAAGGAGAAATCTGGATATCAGGGTGTATTTCTCCTCAGCAGCTCATGCTGGATGGTTTCCAGAAGGTCCTAATTCCTGTGTCTCTGGGAAACACGTCAGGTCAGTTAAAATGCCTGTGTGAGATCTGTAGAGAGTATAGATGCCACCAGGCACGATCTCCACCCCCAGCTGGTCCCAGGGGCATTTTCCTGAAAGTTAGGAACATGTGCCTCTCCAGGAGACCCACCCTGAGCCCTCACTAAGGATTCTTCCTAATATGCCTTTTATCTGTTACCTATTTCCTCCAGCAGTGCTGTATAACAAACTGTCCTCAAACTTAGTGACTTAAAATGAATCATGAACCTGTGAATCAACAAGGCAGTTCTGGTCTGAGCTGGGCTCAGTGGCACACTCGTGCATCTGCAGTCAGTGTGGGTCTCTCTCCCATGTTTGGAGCCTTGGCTAAGAAAGTTGCACTCTCTCATCCTGCACACAAGTAGCCAAGATTCAAGCAAATATGGAGATAATCCCACTGATGATCCCTTGAGCTTAGGGTCAGGACTCTCACCATCATTCTGTTGTCAGCACCAGTAACACCCACAGCTCAGATCCCAGGGAAACAGAAGCAGATGCCACTCTTAATAGGAGATATTACAAAAACCACACTGAACAGGGTGTGGCTTTAGGGATGAGCGGAGAATCAGAGCCATTTTTGCAAGCAATATACTATATAGCCCCTTGGCCAGGCACTCAGGTGCAGATCCTTGCCTCCTTCAGATCCCTGATGGCCCTGATCCTCCTAGACCCAGCACTGCTTTGGATCCCCATCCCCATGTGTCCTCCAGGTAGCATGCTTCTCTCACCTAGTCACCTGTGTGTTACTCAACTCCTCTCCAGAGACATTGCAGTGGGCCGTGGTGGGCTGTGCCTGCCTAGGGATCAGTCCCATTCATCCTCCTGAGAAAGGTTCCCTGTTTTTCCTTTGGAGAAGTAGCCCACCCCTATTCTCAGACCCTGGCGGTGTGGTGGTTGGATATGGGTGATTTTATGTCTTGCTGGGCAGCTCAGAGTCAATGTAAGACTCAAGTTGAACTGTTGGAAAAGAGAGCTCCTTCTTCTCTGGAATTGTTTAATGTGTAGACAGAAACCTGGAGGGAGCTGCCTCTGTGTAAAACCAAGAGAGGAGAGAACATTACCATATACATCTCTGTGTTCCTGGATCCAACCATACCTGAAGCTGATATCTGGACTTGTCAGTTTCCAAGCAGCTAAATTCCCCCTCCATTTTTTTTTTTTTTTTTTTTGGTACCGGGGATCGAACTCAGGTCCTTGTGCTTCCATTTTAAATTTTTAAAAATTAGTTTTAATTTCTTGGTTTAGGCTGGTTTGAATTGGTTTGTGTCACTTGCAGCCCTAAGCAGGTTGCTTAACACATCCATCAACAGATGCTTATAGGTCTTTGGTCTTGTTAATATTCATTGATCTCTCTTTATTTATACGTACACTCACCAATATCTTTTTTTTTTTTTTTTTTTTTTTACTACTGGAGATTGAACCTAGGGCCTTTACATTGAGCTACATCCTCAGCTCCTTTTTATCTTTTATTTTGAGATAGGATGTTGCTCAGTTGTCTGGGCTCAGTTGAACTTGTGCTCCTCCTGGCTCAGCCTCCCAGAGTTCTGGGATCACATACAGGTGTGTGGTACCATATCTGGCATTCCAGTACCTCTGATGCATGCCAGGCCCAGTGCTGGGTGCAAACATGTTATGGGTTAGCCACTGTACATTTAGTCCCCATATGTTAGGGCAGTTCTAGCCCAGAGTCAATGCAGTCTTATTTCAGAACCAGTATGTCTCCTCTTCCTTCAGTTCTTCACCAAATGACAGATGTGGATGCAGACACTTAGGCCCTAGGAATTGATGATTTCTAAAAACATTTTTTGTTTTTGGTACTGGGGATGGAACTCAGGACCTTGCACTTGCGAGGCAGGCGGCAGCACCACGGAGCTAAATCCCCAGCCCTGAAAACATTTTTAGGTTTATTAGTACGTGTTTGCAGCACATAATGATCACATTCGCTGCAGGGACTTGGTACACGTACATAGCACATCTTAATTCTCTTTTCACTCCCTTTCCCTTCTCTCCCCCTCCCAGGAACTTATCTATCTGTCCATAACCCTAACCCTAAGTAATGCAGCCTAATTGGGCGGACTCTTTCCAAACAGTGATAGCAGTTGATGTTTCCTGGGTAGTGTGCTCAATGTTTTTGCATATCTCATTTCGTTTTCTCTTCACAGCTGCCCTTCGAATTAGGGTTCATCATCTCCTTTTCACAAATAAAAAGCCTGAAACGCAGGAAGGTTATGTGACTTTCTGGATCTAAGATTCGCGTCTAAATCTAAAGCTTGTCCACTGAGTGAAAATTGCTAACACAACTATTTCTTCACATGTATCAGTGTTCCAAGGGCTGTAGAATAGAAGCTGGTGATATCCATCTAAAAGTCTTCCCTCTTTCCTCACCTCCCCCGGCTCCTTCCTCTCTTAGCTACCCAGTCCACCATAACAGAATACCCCACCTAGGTAGATTCAACAGCAGCAGTTATTTTCTAACAGTTCTGGAAGCTGGAAGTCCAAGACCAAGGTATTAGCATCTCCTGACCTGTAGAGGATCACCTTCTGCCTGTCTTCACATGGTCTTTCCTTGATATGTGCCTGTCGTCATGTCTCTTCCATTTCTTGTAAAGTGCCGGTCCTCTTGGGTTAGGACTCTACCCATATGACCTCATTTAACATTAATTGCCCCCTCTGCAGTACTAAGGATTGAACCCAGGGTCTTCATGCAAAACAACATCCCAGCCCTTAATTTTAAAAATTTTGGACAGGGTCTCAATAAGTCATTAAGTTGCCCAGGCTGGGTTTGATTTTGGGATTCTCCTGCCTCAGCCTCCCAAAGTTCTGGGATTACAGGTATGTACCACCACACCCAGGCTCTTTACCTCCTTTCTTTTTTTTTTGTACCAGGAATCAAACTCAGGACCTTGCACTTGCCAGCCAGGCATGGCGTATGTACTCTTTAAAGACCCTGTCTCCAGATATTCCCACAGTCTGAGATAGAGGAGGTTAGGCTTCACAGTCTGAACTGGAGGGAGTGGGACACAATTCACTCCAATAAACTCCCTTGTTGGATGCCAAGGAGATAATTGTCCTTGTCCCAAGGAGGCCTCAAAGAGCTCTGAATCACCTGCTGCTTCATGGAGAAAGGATTCTACTAGGCAGGACCCCCCTCCTCCCAACTTCTGCAAGCTTCTATGCATCTGCCTCATCCTAATATGATGGTACTTAGGCCTTGCCCTTCCTGCTCTAATTCTGAGCAACTTCTCTGTCTGTGCTATTCACCTGTCTCTCAATGGTCAGGACTGCACTCATTGGCTCTTTGGGGCTCTTCTCTGCACTCCTAAGAACAGTTCTAGGCTCCTTTCGCTGTTGCCCTCCTCTCCTTCCTCAGAGCCAGTGTTTTTTGCAGCCGCTGTCTCCTTCCACTTCTCTTCTGTGGCCAGGGATAGGAAGCCATAAGGGGAGTTTGATGGCCTTATCTCCCCTGACCTTTAATCTTGGGCACTGTTTACCCTCCCTTGGCAAATTCACACCCAGGGCTCAGCCAGGAGGTGTCTCCCCTCTGATAACCCTGTCAGCTTCATTTCCATTGGCCCAGCTGCTTCTGGCCTCTGCATACAGCAAGAACTCAATAATTGCCAATTAGGTCAAACCAAAATAGCATCAAGGTACAGGGCTACTAAGTTGCTCAAGAAAATGATAGGAAGCTGCAAAATACTTTGGAAATGTGTAATTGAATCCCCAGCCCACACCCAGTACTGGGAATTGAACCTAGGGCCTTTGTACCAACTATGTCCCCTTCTCTCTTTTTTTGGTGCCGGGGATCGAACTCGGGTCCTTCTGCTTGCGCAGCAGGTGGTGAAACCACTGAGCCAAATCCCTGGCCCTCCCCTTCCCTTTTTAATTTTTAAAAATTTTTCTAAATTGGTAACTTGAATTTGTGATCCTCCTGCCTCAGCTTCCTAGAGTATTCCTAGAGATTACAGGCATGTGCCACCACATTCAGCCATATCCAAAGCTCTTAAAAAAGGGTTGAAAATTTAAAGTCTACAGAGACCTGAGAAGTAGTATAAACATATGAAGTGGGGGTGGAGGTAATAAAACAGCAGCATACCTCCCAGTCCACCCACAGAACATCAGCAGTCATTTCCAAAAATGTGGCTCCCTGAGCAGGTTTGGTGGCACACACCTAGAATCCCTGCAATTGGCATGGTAAGGCAGGAGGATTGCTGTGAGATCAATGCCAGCCCAGGCTATGCAGTGAATTCAAGGGCAGCTTGAACTATGTAGTGAGACTCTGTCTCAAAAGAAA